GCGCGGGGTTATTATACAATCCCAAGTAGGGCCTAACCCAAGCCGTCTGGTAATCGCTCCAAGTATCCGTATATCCATACGTGTGGATTCCTACAGTGCGGGTAATCTAGTGTCTGGGAGGAAGAAGCTATGCACCCCTAATTAAGTAACGTGCAATTACAGGGCCTTGAGGGAAAGACACCCCCAATTCCCCTAAACCCTCAACCCCAAACCTTAAACCGCATGGCTCGATTTACCAGCAGCTTCGTAGCCTCGACCCCCGCTATGAAACATGTGGAATCAATGAGATGACAGCTAACCGAACCCTAAACCCTAAACCCCCGAATGATCCTGAACCCTAAACCTATGCCCTGAACCTGAACCGTCCCCATCCGCGTTGGCAGCATCATGGAAGTGCATGGACCCCAAACTGAAACTCTAAGGGTCTAGCTAGATCCACCCAAAGGCTCTTGGGACCCTGCCACACAGAGGGTTTTGGATTTAGGAATTTCAGTATTTTCAGTGTCCAAGAGCCTGAGGACATCTCACAGAAGGCGCAGTTCACGGTTAGGCAAGTAAACGAGGGAATTTGGGGAACCCAAGATATGCCTGAAACCCAGAGACATGTAGAATAATGACCTTTGGGGCTACAATTAGAGGTCTTGGACAATTACTTTACCTACTTTGGGGGTCTCGATATACCGTAAACCCCAAACCCTAAACCCTCAACCCAGAACAACTACGTTGCAACATCAAGGCAGGTGTCGACTCCCTGCCCAGAGCCTAAGCCCAAACAACTCCACTACTTACTGTGCGTCTGGACTCCCATGGAGGCCCTGAACCCTAAAAATCTAGGCGCTTTGGGTTGAGGATGAGGACCCCCATGGAGACCCCAAACCCTAAACCCTAGGAACTTCCTTTCCAAGTTAAGGGCGCAAAAGGCTTCAGGAAACCCAGAAGGTGACTGAACGCTACGACGAGGAGCTTCGATGATGAAACGCATTCTGCATGCCATAAACAACCTTATCCCTGGCGCTCTGAGTCTATGAATGATACCTACATTGGGCCCCAAACCCTATAAATGGTACCTACATGGAGCCTTGGGGTATGTAGGGCAACCTTCTTATAACATCGTTAAAACTATCTATAACCCCGAAAGCTTGCAGACAGCTTGCTGCGGTTTTGCTGAAACAGAACTAATGCGCACCTCAGTTGGATGCGCAGTATGGGTGCATGTACTTGTTTACCAGGGTTAAGTGCACCTCCTCTCGCAGGCAAATAAGCCCTCAACTCTCTAAACCCTAAACTTTAGGCGCTGGTTAAACCTCTGAATCCTTACACCCAAAACCCGAAATCCATGATCTGTGCTCGCCAAACACTACAACGGCCCAAGTACCCAAAGAATGGTGCTAAGACGTTATAGGGATAGACGGGAATACATAGGGATATACTGTTGTAAACAAGGTTTAGGATTCTACTTGTCTCGATCGTGGGGCTTTAGGTACCCAAAACGCAGTCGGATTACTGTCTAGGAAGCAGAAACCTTCGAGTCCTTGGACCCTAGCAAGCCCCTCAACCCTTTGAATCCCCTTTTGCCCCTGTTCATCCTTATACATTGCCACAGCCCCCTTTCCAGCCCCCAATATTTGGATACCTGACCCTAAACCCTAAACCGCCTAAAGCCTAAACCCTTAACCCTAAACCCTAGACCCTGAGCAAAAGTAGAGACTTTTCGATGAGTCGCTTCGCCGAAGGAGCTTTAAGCTGCTGCTGCTGCACAGTTAGGGTTTAGGGTTTAGGGTTTGTAGTCCCCCTTAACCCTGGGGCTCTAAGTCTATAAGTGCTACCTACATTGGGGCCCGAACCCTATAAATAGTACCTACATGGAGCCTTAGGGTAAGTAGATAGAATATGGGGTTACTGATTATTCGGTTTTCGTATCATCTCCGAGATCGCTCTTCGTGGCGCCATCTCAGATCACGAGCGGTCGTTGCCTGTGCCATTGGCCCACTTTTCAGTGTAAGAAGGCTGGTGTAGGTTTCAGGATTTACTATAAGGGCCTCAATCAAGTGCCTCTAGCAATTTGAGCTCTGTTTGAGGTATTCTAAACTGCAACCACAATAATGGCAATTATCCAGGCATGTACAATAATTGGGAACCCTGGGCTCCTACAGGGTTGACAGTGTAGGATTTCCTGTCAGGATTGAGGCCTTCAGGATGTTGGAACTTCCAAGACATATCATCTGAGGAGTTTTCCTTGACTTATAGTTTGAGGTATATGGTTAAGGGCTTAGGGTTATCCCGGAAGTACGGAATCTTGGGAGGTCGGGGAAGAACCCTAAACCCTGAACTCCTAAAAGCTTTAAACCTAAAGAATCCAAAGCCCCAAACCTTCACACCTAAAACCCTCAACCTTACATCCCGGGCCAAGTCCTAAACCATACCCCTACACCTGCACTCCTACATTTTTCTTATGAACCCTCAGCTCCCTAAACCCCAAAATCCCCCTTAAGTAGATAGAATATGGCTTTAGGTATACTAGAAAAAGGCCCCATATACCCCATATTCTATCTACTTAAGGGGGACTGTAAACCCTGACCAATTACCACATATCCTACACTCTGGCCCCTTATTCTTCAAGCCAAAGCTCTATGATCCCCCCTTAGGTAGATAGAATGTGGGGTATATGGGGATCTTGTTATAATATATCAAAAGCCATATTCTATCTACTTAAGGGGGACTATACCCTAAACCCAAACCACTAAATCGTAGTTTCCATTTTCTTTTCCATTATCCCTATATAACCCCAATAAAACCCTAATATTCTATCTACTTAAGGCGGCTATAACCTTCAACCCTGAATCCCGAGCCAATAACCTTGGTTTAGGGTTTAGGGGGTCAGGGTTTAGGGTTTAGGGTTTAATTAGGATTTAGGTTTAGGGTTTAATTAGGGTTAGGCTTAGGGTTTAGGTTTAAGGTTTACGGTTTAATTAGGGTTTAGGGTTTAGGTTTATTGTTTAATAGTTAAGGTTTAAGGTTTACGGTGTAATTAGGGTTTAGGTTTAGGGTTTGGGTTTGGGGTTTAAGTAGGGTTGGGCTTAGGGTTTAGGTTTAAGGTTTACGGTTTAATTCGGGTTTAGGTTTAGGGTTTAATTAGGGTTAGGTTTAGGGTTTAGGTTGAAGGTTTAATTTGGGTTTAGGTTTAGGGTTTAGGTTTAGGGTTTAACTAGGATTTAGGGTTTAGGGTTTAGGTTAAGAGTTTGAAACTTCACCACAAAAAGCAGGCGCTAGCCACTGAGCCACTTAAAAGCCTTCATCTTCAGCCCCTGAAAATCTAGGTGACGGGGCTTCTCCAAAAATGTGTTCATAAGGACTCTCGGGCTAGATGGGGATTACACACCCAGACCTCTGGGAGGATCTAGAAAGCAGATCCTCCGAAGAGACCCCACAAACCGTCCGATGCTAGTAGAGGGCACCATATTGTGTAACATCTACGTAACCACTATATGGGTTATTCTCAAAACCACGGGCCCCCTGTGGTTATAGAGTATATTACGGCACCTGACATTTAGGGGCACCAAATCCCCCTACAACCGAAACTCCCGCAGCGTCATGCTTGGCCTTCTTGACCACGTAGGCCGCTCGCTGCTGAGCCGCCCGGAGGAAGTTCTGGGCTTTCCCCCACTTTTGGGGTCCAAAGTATATCGCTATCCAAAGTATATCGCTATCATGTACATATCTATATATATATATATGTATATATATACTCTCCAAGAGAAAAATCTGATTCATAGTATAAGAAACTGACAAGGTATATGACTATCTTATGATGGACCCTCAGGGTGAGGGTCTGGGGTCTAGGATCTGGAGGGTATGGGCCGCTTCTAGCTAAGCAAGAAAACCCTAGAAAGGATTTCTGGCTCTTCTAGCGAAGGAAACCCAGAACATCCTCAGTTTCTAGGGTTCTGGCTCTTGTAGCTCGTCTGGCGTTTAAGACAGGTTTAGATAGCACGCCTCTTGTTTAAACACACAAGCACGCCCTGTTTGAGGCCGCGAGCAGTTTCTAGTAGGTTCCCCAGTCCCATGGACACAAAAGCCTGACCCGGAACCCTAAATATCCATACAGCGCTTTTAGACGCACCCAGTTATAGGTAGTTGCTACATCCCTTGAGCCTCCTCAAGCTTTGCGATTTTCCGGGTCCGTAAACCCTAAACCTTTGATTATGGTTTGGGTTTTGGGGGGTCTGAGGTTGGATGGCTTTAGGGCAAGACTTCCGGTTTTTTTTTTGACCCAAGGAATTCGTAACTTTACGGCAGTTAGCAGGGGTACGTGACCCCACGCTAAACCTAAACCCTAAGAAACGTGCTCAACTGCGGCACGAAGAACAAAGGACTGAAACTGGGGAAACTGGACAAGAGCGCGGTTTAGGGTTTAGGGTTTAGAGTATGGCACCCCCCCCCAGATTCAAAGGCCCTTTCAAGCCTCATTAAATCTAGATAGCCCTTATTAGCTCCTGAAACCCTGGGATGGGAAACCTGATCCCTAAGCCCTAATCCCTGAACCGCAATTAAACTCTAAACCCTAATCCCTACACCATAACTCCTAAACCCAAACCCCGAACCTTAAACCCTAATCCCTAAACCCTAATCCCTAAACCTTAATCCCTAAATCCTGAACCCTAAACCCTTACAAAGGCGCATCACGCTTGAGCTCCGCTCCGACCTGCTGGTACTCGCGGAATAGCTGCCGGTCCTACGGTGGATTTGGGTTTTGGGTTTAGGGTTTAGGGGTTTAGGGTTTAGGGTGGATACTAAGAATCCTGCATGACCCTAAATACCCTAAACCTTGGGAATAATGGTACTATAGTATACTAAGGTCATGCAGGATTTTTAATATCAACAGTATTCCGTATCGTGGCTGAGGGTCTTGGGTTTCGGGTTTTGGATTTAGGGCTTAGGCTTTAAGATTTAGGGTTAAGGGTTTAAGATTTAGGGTTTATAGGGCTTAGGGCTTAGGATTTAGATTTTAGGATTTAGGGTTTGCGGCCAGTGAAGATGATCCTTGGTTCCTTCTCGGGCTACCATCAACATCTACACGTTTGCTCTATTGCTTCTTGGGTTTTAGGATACTGAAAAGTAATGCCGTCAGCCTAATGTTGAAAACCCGCCCCCTTCTGTTAAAAATTACCAGTATCTTATACTATACCGCAATGGTAATATGTCATATCAATATATATATAT